TTAATCCTGTAACTTTGATACTTATTCATATAGAATTCTAGGACACATTAACAAAGAAATAAACAATACAAGCATTATGAAATTGTATTGAACTTTAAAGAGAAGTTTTATTTAGATAGTAACGAATGATTTTTATATTCAATATCAAATACAATATTCTGAAATATATTATTAAAAAAAGATAATACAATAGAGAAAATAGAATTTCATTTTTTGATTAAATGCAATGTACTTTTTAAGCGCACATTGATATAATATAATCAAATAATTTAATATGATATTCTTAATATTAAAAATTTTTTTAAGTGAACTAAATGTATAGTTTTAAATTTAAATTTAAATAATAGAAGACAAAAAATTCTTATTTCTTATCAATAAGAATATATTTATTCATTAAACTACATAAGAATTTTTATTGAAATTCTTTTATAGAAGAAAATGATACTTTTTTTAAAAGTATTTTTTTATTTTAAATGATATGATATTTAATAACAAAATATTTAATTATTATTATTGTTATTACTGATGTTTCAATAAGATATTCTTTTTATTATTCTAAAATAATTTTTAATTAGATATAAAATTTCTTAAATTTCTTAAAAAATGGACTTAATTATAAATTGTTATAAATTAATTTTATTTTATTAACAATTAAGTAAATAACTTTCAATATTTACAAAATTACTACCTTTTTCAAATATAAATATCAATTTAATTGCATATTTTATAATTTTTGAAAATTTGTAAAAAGAATTCTTATGTAATTTTGTAAAAGGAAGAAAGAGATTTACTTAGAAAGAAATTGCTGAAATTGTAAATTCTGCATCATTTGTAAATATAAAGATAATTTTAAAAAAAGATAAAAGAAAATTAAAATTAAATCTATAAGAAGCTTAAATAAAATATTTTATTTATTTTGCAATGCATTTAGTGACATTAAAAATATTTTATTATTTACAATAAATTTATTGTAATTTTTAAATTCCTGAATTTAACTTCTCATTTTAACATTTCAGGTTTAATATAATTTTATTATTTCACAATTTAATAATTTAAAAATTCACCAAATTTTTATCAAACTTGTATATGCATTAAAAAATTAAGTAATATTAATATAATTCAGGAATCAATGCTTCGTGTTCGATTTCTCCCATTGAATGAAGATGTTCTACAATCAATATCAATATAATTATCTGTTATTATTAATTGCTCTGTACAACGTATACATAAAAAATCTTATATACAAAATTTTGTAATAAAAATAATTGTGTTTTATGTAAAATCCATCAAAATCATGTATAATAGTCACTTTAACTAAATAGCTCACTTGTTAAAATGAGTCTCAAAAATTCTGGCAAAAACAGGTTGTATTTGCTCCAATATATCAGTTGTTAGCATTCCCCTTTGCTTTAATTTATATGCAGATGAATTGCATTCTCTCACTAATCTACTTGCAGCATAACTTGCAGCTATTGGTGGAGACAAAGCAGTTTCGTTATTTCCTGCACAAATAGCCCACCACCAAAATACAGCTAATGCTCCACATAATAAATCTCCTTGACCTCCACATCTTCGTCCAGAACCAGCTAATCCACATGACACAGCTTCTGTACCTTTATGTCCATCTGCAATTACATCCTTTGCTCCTTTATGTAAAATTATTACATTTTTCCCAAGTGCATCAGCTAAATGTTTAACATCATTTGCTTTAACCATTGGTGTAGGTTGAACATTTTTATCAAGTACTCCTTTAACAAGGCGACTGAATTCCATTGCATTAGGAGTAAGGATAGCACCTGGATATTCTTTTATTATATCAGGTTTCTGGCTAATCAAAAATAATCCATCTGCATCAATTACCAATGGCTTTTTCATATCACGACAAATTGAAATTAATTCAACAATTATTTTAAATACTTTATCATCTCTACCAAGACCAGGTCCAATAATAATTATATGTAAACGATCAAGCCATGGTCTTATTTGTTTAATTGCATCATATTGATCTAAAACTGGATGAACAATAGGTTCTGGGCTAAATGCTTTCAGTGGAAAGCTTGCATCTTTTACACAAAATATGTGCACTAAATCACATCCAGTACGGAGTGCACTCATTGCTGCATAATATGGTGCACCAGTATATTCAAGACTACCACCAAATATACCAATTCGACCATCTTGACCTTTATATTTGGTATTATTCAAATTTGGAATTACTCTTCTTATTCCTTTTAACATACGTTCATCATTTGATACTGTTGTAGACATGATGGAAACTAATGGAAACTTGTTTGAATTCCTACGGGCAAAATTCAAAATACCAAGAGCCATTCTCCAACTTAATAATAAAAGTTGCTCTTAATTACTATTTTCCTTTTACAAATAAAATGATGATTGATGTGAATGAATATCTTTTTATAATTGATATGTTTTATTGATTTTTACAAAATATTTTATAGTAGTAATAATATATAAATTAAGATGCACAATATTAAGATGAAACAAGCACATAGTAAAATACAATATTACCTGTAATGTTTTTAATATATAATTGAAGATTTGTATAACACTGCCGTTGTTTATTAAATATTAATTCAGAAGAAATCGAACAAGAATGACTACATAATGAGATAAAAAAATAGATAACCTCTAACCTATGTCAAATGTACGAAAATACACATATTTTCTGTTTCTATGTGTAAAAAATTAAATAAATAGATTTTTTAAATATTTTTTAGATTTCTATTCTTATATAAAATGGAAAAGGAATAGTATAACAAAAAACGAAAATTTTTAGTGAAATAATACGAAAATATAAACAAATGTACTATTAAAAGTTTTGAAAAACGATTGTCACTTCAGTGCCAGTAGTTATTAGTATTTAAATAAAAAAAATTCCTATATTTATCCGTTAATGAAAAATAAAAACTCAGAAATACAGAAAATAAATCGAGCAATAAAAAATTTAATATATATATTATTCTATTATATCTATGTAATAAATATTAATGCATTTTTAAATTATTACCTTATTCAACACAAAAATATAAAATGAAATTTTTTAGAAAAAATAACTTTCTGCAAAATAATTTATAAAATTTTGTAATGTACTTCTTAAGACAAATCGTTTGATATGCCGTATATTATATTGCGTGATCTGATACTATATATTTTTATATGTAAAAGATATTTGAATAAATAGTTACTTAATATATAAATTGTGCGTATTAACAAAGTACAAATTACACCTATAATTCTTATCAGAATTTCATGAACATATTATGAAATATGTGTATCATCATGACAATGCAACATTACAAAAATAATACTATACAATACATAATATTATATATATAATACCGATAGTAATATATATATAAAATTTTAAAATTTAAAGTTTTAAAATTGAAAAAAATTTATTAATTGAAAATTCCTGGGATTTTAAACAATATTTTCCTTTCTAAAAACTTTCGTTACGACTTTATCAACGAGAAAAACACTGACCAATCATAAAACACATAATATAGAGGAATTGCAACAGTAGTGTGCTGCCAATCAAGCATGAACAAATTCAAATAACATATGTTGAAAAAAGAGTGAATATAAGAAATATTTTTTTATCGATAAAAAATTATATTAAATTATATGAACAATGAATAAACTATAATATTTAAACTATTTGTATATTAATATTTCACAGTAGTAATATTTAAAAAAAGTATTTAAAAAAAATAAATGAAGATTAGATAAATAGATATATTTAAGTATATAAAATAAGATATAATGAAGCATGATAGATGTTGACTTATTTTATGCAGATTATTGAATAAAATAAAAAATTTATTATTTTAATCAATTAAATTAATTTAATTTTAGAAAATTGATAAAAAAAATTTATAAAATAGAATCAAGATTCCCTTCTTAAAATTTTCTTGTTTCAACTTTAATAGAAAAAAAGAAATTATTGAAAAATATCTAAATAAAATATGTGAATAAAATTATAATCGAACTTATTGGGAAAAAAAAATTTCATTCGATATTTATATTTAAGAAATTAATATTCTTCAATAAGTTATAAAAATAACTTATAATAAAAATTTCTTATTTTATCTTAATAATTTAATTGCTAATAATAGTAACTATAATTAATAATCTTGTGAATGTACTTGAAATGATAAATAAATATTTTAAAAAGCAATATATTATAAACTTTCAATTATAAACTTAAAAAAAAACAGAACAGAAGTTGAATTGTTTTAAGATATATAATATTGATTAATAATAAGATATATAATTTTTCATTTGGAAAATAATCTTAATCCATTATTTTTTACTTTTTAATCTAAATATTTATTTGTTTTATTTGTTTCAAAATATCGTAATTCTTCATCATTAAATATTTAAGATATTGAAAAATCATTTTGATAAAATAAATTGATATTAAAATATAATTTTCATGAAATATAATATCAATAGTTTTTAATCCTATTTTTTATATTTTGAAATATTTATATATATTATTAATAATTCTTTTTCTATAGACTAATCCTTACAAATAATAAAATGTTATCAATTTTTATGTCATTAATGATAAAAGAAAAGAAAAATTTCGATTCTTTTTTTTATAAAATTATAATTATTTTATAAGATGAAAATTGAAACTCTTATTGATTTATTGATTTAAGTATCATTGATAAATTAATCAATTAATAATTTATTATGTTATGTATGCAATTTTCAGATATACATAGATAATAAATAAATATTATAATATAATATATTCTGCTCTTATAATTTTTTTGTAAAAACTTTTTACGTCTCATATATATATATATATATATATATA